TGAACGTACCTATCCTCTCCGTGGACTACTCTCTGTCACCTGAAGCACCCTTTCCCAGAGCTCTGGAGGAATGTTTCTACGCCTACTGCTGGGCTCTGAACAACTGTCATCTGCTGGGTATGTGTACGACGTCACAACACAACAACACAGGACTAGTAAACTAGTAAACCAATAGGGAGAGTCTTTTATTTTAAAAGATTGATTGATGAATCTGTTTATATTTCTGTTCTCATTTTGCAAGATTTCAGGTTTTTTTTTTTTTTTTTGTTGCCTGCCTTTAATCTGTTAAAAGAAAATTAGTTCGTTTTTAACTTGTTTTAAAAGATAAGAAACTTAAGATAGAAAAAAAACTGTTAACATACAGAGAAGTAAAAGGCAGGTGGAGAATAGTATTGGTAGTAGAATAGCCCGGATATGAGGGGAAATTTGTTTTGACTATATGTAAATTAATGTTTATAAATGTAACAGAATGTGTGAATTCAAAGAAACAAATACGCCCATGTGCAAAATGCAAATGTGTGTGCCAGTGTCTTCACACAAAAATATCTACAGATATATTACTACAGAAAGCAATAGAGAATCTGCACACCTTAACAGATGCTCCCATATGTTCCCATTGCAGATGTAGATAGCACATGTACACAGTGAACCATTATTGTAAGTGGTGTTACTGGTTGTCCCTTTTTCCAGGAGGCGGGTCACATGATGCACTGCAACTCACATGTGAATTGTTATCTGTATATTATCAGAGCATGGAACAGGGAAAGTGTCATATGCAGTGAAGCTGGAGAAAAGCACAGAAATAGGCTACAGTATAGACTGGCTGCAACTAATGATTTTTTTAGGTTTATTGTATATTTATCTGTTGATTATTGTATATGTATTATTGTCATAAATTGTCAATGTGACATCTTCAAGTTGCTTGTTTTGTCCAACCAACTTTCCACAATTCAAAGGAATTTAAAGGTGCAGGTGCTGTAGAAACACTAATAAAAACATACCTATGAATATTATATTCCATTTCTGCCAGTCCCCTAAATGGACCTTTAAAGTAGACTGATGAAACCTAAAAACAGTTTATCCTTTCAGCATGTAATAGTAGTGTAAATTCAAATGATCCTAATTACTTAGATACTAAGGTTTCTGTCTTTGTCTCAGGCTCCACAGCAGAGAGGGTCTGTCTGGCGGGTGACAGCGCTGGAGGAAACCTCTGCATCACTGTGTCCATGAAGGCCATATCCAACGGCATCCGAGTCCCTGCCGGCATCATGGTTGCTTACCCCGCCACCTTGCTCACCACTGATGCCTCGCCCTCCCGCCTGCTCACGCTCATCGACCCGCTGTTGCCCCTAGGTGTTCTCACAAAGTGCATCAATGCTTATGCAGGTATGTGGGTGTATAATGGCACAGCAGGAGGTGTGTGCTCTTGTTTCACGCCTCATTTAACGACAGAGCTGTTTCCAGGGCGCCACTGGAACAGAAAACAGAATCATGTGGGGGAATAAGTCAACAGTTTTCTCATTAAACATATTTCCAATGCAGCTTGCTTTTATCTCAGGTGCAGGAGGTCATATGCCAGGTAGATACTCTCTATGTAACAGGATTATGGCTTTACATTTGCAGAAAAGCAACCTGGATATTTGGTTTAAAAGTACTGTGATAGCTAGCATTGCCTGTTAATGTGACCCTCACACATTCAGTTGCCGTGTGTGGTTATGAAAGGAACTTCTTACGCTGTCAGTGGAAGTTATAAATATTTAACATGTGTGAAAGCCTGTGTTAAATAAAAAAAATGTGGTTCATTTTATTTGAGGTACAATAGAAAACTCTCCGTAAATACAACAGTTTGAATAATGAAAGCATCTTGTTTTCATTTATACAGGAGGAGGAAGTTATAATCAGGATTTATTGCCTCGCTCCCTTAAAAGACAATTGAGTTGTTTTCACCTGCTCATGCTTTTCAAGCTTGTATTATCTTTTTCATGTAGTTTTTAAGCCACCGATATTTCCCCATTGTCAAGTGTCTTTTTTTCTGTTCCTCTTGATATATTTATCCCTAACTTACATCCCATCATCTCCCTCCCAGGGGCAGACTGTCAGTCGGTGCAGCCTGCGGTGGAAAGCAGCAGTCTGAGCTCTCTCGGTAGAGACACCGCTGTGCTGCTCGGTGATCTCACCCAGGGAGCCTCCAACTGGATCCAGTCCTTTCTGGACCCCCTGCGGACTTCAGGTGGCACACGCTCGCTGTCATCAGCACAGAGGAGGTCCCCGAACAACGAAACTCGCAGGACATCCACTCACAACTCCTCACCAAACTGCGGAGGTCACACGGATTACCCAGAGGGCTTTGAGCCCCTGCGCTCCGAGTGCCTGGCCTTTGTTACCCCGACCTCCTGCCCCATTATCAGGAACCCGTTTGTGTCACCCCTGCTGGCTCCGAACAGCCTGCTGAAAGGCATGCCTCCTGTGCACATAGTGGTAAGAGAGGGAAGAGGAACTGAGGTAGTTGAGGGTGGAAGAGTTTATGTTTTCTAGAAAAACCTCATCCAGACAGTTTAACCACTTAGCTTCATTTATTTTCCACATGGTGTTTAACTTCAGTACAGTTTTGACCTTCCATAGCTACCACAGAGGTTACAGACCTGAATCCTGATGAAAGTAGAGTGGCAATGGACCGGTTGCACAGCAGACATTTTGACTTGTCACACAGGAAAAACAGGGGGACTTAATAGCAGTAACGACAGCACGGTGACAATAAGTGTCCCATCAACAGTGACAGTGAGCCAGCATGCACAATAGCAGGACCTCCCCTAAGAGGAATGAAGCCGTCATTAACACACCTGTGAGTTTCCTGCTGTGACATGTCAAAATGTCCGCTGTGCAACCAGTAAGACTTTTGAATTGTTGTACAAATCTGAGACGTCACAGACGCAGATTGGAACTGACAACAACATATTTGTGTCGGGGTTCAAAGGTTGATCGAGATAATCAATAATAATGAATAACTAGTTTTAGCCAGGTGTTCGTTGATGCTTTCCTACAAATTATAACCATTACTGCTTTCCATTTTCAAAAGGATACTTTAAAGTTGCATTGCTATGATGATATAATGATCACCCACCTCTCCTCTATGGATCCTTTATTTTATTTTTTTACTATTTTGGATGATTCTTTTGTTTTCTCTCTGCTCTCGTCAACCCTGTTTTCAGTAACAGCAGGCAACTGTTTTCAGTGACAAAGCTCTCATTTAACTCACTGTACGCTCCCTGCTCAGCACCAAACGACAAACACACAAAGTTTACAACTGGCTGGTGAACTGAACATATTGATTTGCATTTATTGGGCTAACGCATGTTTTAGAAAAAACTGTTTGCTCTTAACAGCCCAGTGTGGTCCAGTTTCATGCACACACCCTACACGGCCGATATATCTTTATCTGTAAATATATAATTATCCATATCAAGACTATTTGTGTGTAAAAAAAACTCCAATATTTGTTTTAAACTCTCAAATATTGATATCAGTCTCAGTCAGGCTATAGTTACTAATGCATTAGTTTGCATTTTTTCAAGCGAACTGTTTTGTTTTGTTCAGTTCTTGTTTCCTAATCGCTCCACGTGTCCTTGCAGGCCTCTGCTCTGGATGCCTTGCTGGATGACTCGGTGATGTTTGCCAAGAAGCTGCGAGACATGGGCCAGCCTGTGACTCTGAAGGTGGTGGAGGACCTGCCCCATGGCTTCCTCAGCCTATCACAGCTCGCCAAGGAGACGGACGTCGCTTCAGAAATCTGCGTGGAGCAAATGAGGACGATTTTCCAGCAAGAAAACCCGACTCCTGCTCTTCGCAAACGGCCAAAGCTGGAAGAGACTTATCAGAGTACCAATCCATCAGGCTGATTGATTGTGTCATTATTGGGACTTTGTTGTTCTTGGATAAAAAAAAAAAGAGGAGAGATGCAATAAATTTAAGAAAAGGAAACAAGTCAAAGCTGGAGGAAGCTTAGGGACCCTGCACTTAAAACCTTTATAGGCGACAACGATCAAGCAAACCACTAAAAACTTTCTATAACCAGCTAATGCTAAATGATTCCAAATATAAACAGGATTAAGAATTTTTCTACCAACATTTTGTTAAAGATCAAATGCAAATTCAGAATATAACAGAAACTTCCCTGAACCCAACCAGCCATTGCAGTAATTTCTTAACTGATCTATATTAATATATATGTCAGTAATGGGAAGTGATGTGCCTTGAATTTAAAGTGCTGCTGTATTTGTGTAAAGTGTTTGAAGAAAAGCTTTGCCTACGTTACTAAACTGACCAGGATTAAAGGTTTACTTTAACTTTACAGGAAAGACTTCAGATGCTATATTATTATTTTTATTATTATTATTATTATATTTGAATTAATGTGTAACCTGGTTTTGCCAGTTTTGTCACATGTTTACAATATATTGATAAGGAGGCCTTTGCATTGTATTAACCAGCAGTATATGTGGATGTGGATGTGGATGTAAGACTAAGTTGTACTGTAAATTAATTCTCATGTCTTAATATTAATATTTAACACTGTGCTGTTATATTTAAAGTCTGAATTAAATCAGAACTGAAAGGATTGCTTGTGCTTATTTGATGCTTTTGGACAGCTAATATTAACTAGGACTTAACTGGTTATTTTTCCATGTATTATTTAGAAACATCCATGTTGAATTGGGTTTCACGGGTACATAATTGCTATTATTACTGTACACAAACTTGTATTGCAACCAAATCGCAACACATTTCACACCCAAACATTATAAGACTAAACCCCACAGAATAACATCTGAATTGGAGTTATTTAACACAGCTTGACATTTCCCATTCCTCGTGATAACTCTGCACCAAATGTTTGCTCTTGGCGCAGTTGCCAGAGTTCCCATACGGTATATGATATTTTGAATCGTTGTCTGACACCAGTTGCCTCTTTTTCAGCATCTTTCATTGGTCGCTCCTCATTATCAGCTGTCAGTGATGTGGACACGGGGGAGCAAACACGCTTTAAATTTGAGGAGTTAAATGAGATACCTTCCTGTCTGCAGACGCCCCAAACCGAAGCCACGATGTTGTTACTCACTTTTCTTGTGTTGGTGGGAACTAGTGGTAAGTTTGAGTGAAAATAAAACCTTTTGCACCTTTTCCAGCTGGAAGAAAGTGTTGCTTTTTTTATACTCAGGCTCACATTTTCCAGGGATGTTTGGTAGAGCTCAGGGTCATGACCTTTCGTCCTGTGAGCATTGTTATGTGTGGTTCAAATAACAGGCTAAATACTCCTCATCTCTACACTTTTTCTGTGTCCTCTCCTGTCTTTCTGCCACCCGCACAGCTGCCCTCGGCTTTGATGATAAGATCGTTGGTGGCTACGAGTGCAGGGATCACTCTGTCCCCTGGCAGGTGTCACTCAACAACGGCTGGCACTACTGTGGAGGAACCCTGATCAATGACCGCTGGGTCGTCAGTGCTGCACACTGCTATAAGTAAGTTACGCCTGCTTTACTGAAAGAGGACGTTTTGCACTTTTTGCTTCTAACTATCTGCTTTTCTTTCATTTCTCTCTCTTTGTTTCCACCGTGGCCTCTCAGGGGTGAGGATATCGAGCTGCGTCTAGGCGAGCACCACATCGGGTACAAGGACGGCCCCGAGCAGTTCATCGCCCCCGCTGTCATCATCCGCCACCCAGAGTACGACCGTTACACCATCAACAATGACATCATGTTGATTAAACTTGCAGAGCCAGCAAAGATTAATGAGTACGTCCGGCCCATCGCCCTCCCCAGCGGCTGTGCCCCTGCAGGCACCCAGTGTCTGGTCTCTGGATGGGGAGCCACTCAGAGCCCCTGTAAGTCTGGGATTAGAAGAAAGGTTGTGTTCAGAGTTGCTGCAGTTCCTACTAGTGATCAGCAGAGGATAGCTTTGTGATTTGAATAATGTGAGGCAGGTGTAAATGTAAAAAAATGTCTCTCTGGTTGTGTTTGTGTGACCCAGTCGGCTGTACGAAATGCCTGCACTGCCTGGATCTGCCCATCCTGCCCCAGCAGGACTGTGAACGCTCCTACCCAAACAGGATCACCTCCTCCATGTTCTGTGCCGGCTTCCTGGAGGGAGGAAAGGACTCCTGCCAGGTACATGAAGGCAGAAATACACAAAATATAATACAGTTTAGGTCCATTTGAGTTTTATTTTGAAAAATTATTTTCCTAGCATGTCATTTATTTATTTCCCTAGATGGGTCTTTAAAATACATAAAACTCTACAAAAACTCAACAAATAACACAGAACTCAACAGGAAAAACAAAACAATACAGGACACAAAGTAATACGTTAAAGCACCATAAAACAGGACACACCAGATCATTCGTGACTACATAACTGAACTTTCACTTAGAGTTTAAAATGATCTCAGTCAGGATCCAGTTCCACATTTTAATCCCCGAACTGGAAAACCTGATTTATGTTTACAAATGACACATCAATTATTTACCTTCTTTAAAAGTGTCAGCTTGTTAATTCAGCAATATTATATGCAATATTACAGATTTGGTGTAATGTTTCTGATTTTGCCCATTTATTGGCCACTTATTTGTTTATCTGCTTTTGTTTTAAATGTCTTTCACAACTGATACTTCCTCAATCTTTTTTTTATTATTCAGGTTCTTCATTATTCTTTTAACTCCTTTATTCCTTTTTTTTCTTATTGCTATTGTCACTTTTATTACCATTTTGTTATTATTTTGCGAGTGTTATTATTTAAGACAGTGTTATTTTTCCATCGTCTCCATCAGGGAGATTCTGGTGGCCCTCTGGTGTGTAATGGGGAGCTCCAGGGTGTGGTGTCCTGGGGATGGGGCTGTGCTGAAGAAAACCGTCCCGGTGTTTACGCCAAGGTTGGTACACCCTGTAGACCTCTGCTCTGTGATACTTTAGAGAGTTTTATGTGTAAAAAAGGCTTTCTTTAACTTTAAATATGCCTAAGATATTCTACATATAGCTTTTTGTCAATTAGGGACTTTACAACAGTCCAGAAAGTTCCATTATTTACTTTAATCTATTCAGATTTTGTGAGTCTTTGTCATATTTTGTGAAATGTATTTGTTGTTGCTGTTCAGAAGATCACCTGCCATTATTAAAATGTAACTTTAACCTCCTTTCACTGCAGTAAGAGCTGTTATAAATAAATAACTACCCTTGCAAAGCTCAGCTCTCTGTTATAATCAGACCTGTCTGAAGGTCATTTAGACTACAGACGCTGTATCCAAGGACACAAAAAACTTGTGTTTTGTACTTAATATGCACAGAATATATCTTAAAATCTCTGGTATCTTACACAATATTTTAATTATAACTGATTTATTATAAACATCCTAAACTCTGACTTCAGGTGCTCATTGTGTCACAATAATTTAAAAAGTGAACCAGCTAAATCTTGCCTTCCTCTGCCTCCATTTTTAAAGTTATATTAATTTTATTCTCCACAGGTCTGCCAGTTTACTGACTGGATCCACTCCACTATGGCCTCTCACTGAAGTCCTTTAGGCAGAGGAAAGATCAAATCTGTCTCCTGATGCTGTTCGTTTAATGTCAAAACACTTCTCCGTATTATATGAGGTGCATATTATGCAGCTTTACCAACCACTTCATGACTTATTTGACTGTTTGTGGGCCATGTTTTAACAATGACAATAAAATATCATCATGAGTAAGACGCTAACACTCGTGTCTGGGATTTGATTCACACACATTAATGTCGTCAGTCCCAGTGGAGCTGCAGATCAGACTGCGGTTGTACTGGTCGGCTTCTAGGTGTACATTGTGAAATATAACTGTGTGTGTGTATAGCAGGGAGACTTTTCTTTTCAATCTGCAGTTTATTCACATCACGGCACAAGAATAATGTAACTCTGACAAAGTGAAATGTTCACGATAATGGATTATACAGTGACAGCAAGTTTCAAGAGACATCTTATTGATTTTCCTGATGGACTGAAATTAATAGAACAAACTGCTTGAAATGAACCAAAAAAAAAAAATACATCCAGAAAGTATAAAGATATAATATACAGCATAAATTATACACGATTACTACTTATAAGGATCTAAAGCTTATTAAATAGACTTTTGTGATTCACATAAGGAACATAAAATATATTTTTTTACAAACTCTCACTACACATTTAAAAAAATAAAATAAAATAAACAATATAAACAGTTTAAAATAATCTATAACCCCCCCCTCCCCCAGCAGCAGTGAGCAGGAGTGACCGCAGGGGGGCAGCAGCGTCGTAGAGTCTCACATGTAATAAACAGGAGGGGGGGAGAGCCGCCGAGGAAGAGCAGACGAAGAAGAGGGCGACCATGTTGATTTAAAGGAAGAAGAAACACAATAGAGGCGATTTATTTCAAGTAAAATTCAGATATTAAAGCGAATTGTGAAGAAAGTAGCTGATCGGCCGCACACCGAGCATCCCTTGTGAAACAACAAACAACCTAAGGTAGGTCTGCGATGACGTGGAACCGCGTAGTTTCCGTTAAAAAAGAAAACACCCGTAGTTGTTTTTTGTGAGCTGGTTAGCGGTTAGCGGCTAGCTGGTTAGCGGCTAACGTTAGCGAGTGGAGTTATTTGTGCTAAATTAGCTCCCCGAGGCTAACGAGCGAGCTAATTGCGCCGTGATACAGATATAAATAAAAAACACAAAGAACAGCAACGTTAACGCCGTGTGCGAGTTTTTTATTTTGTGATTTTAAAAGCGGATTAAAAGTGTTTTTATAAATGCTGCTGTTAGCATCGAGCTAACCCTGGCTTTAGCCTCCAGTCTGACGCTGCTCGTGTTGTTTCTCTTGAGTCGCAGTCTGAAGCTAATGTGACCAAACTCCTGCACAAAGCGACTCTTTTTAACATTTAACAAACATTTAACAAAGTGTTGATTGTTTCTGGGGGAGCTGTAATTTAATTTAACGACGTATTTAATCTGTTTTTGTACAGATTTGTTCGACCTGGAGTCTTTTTTTTTTTTCTTTCTCTGTAGGTCTTATTTTAACTCCAGGTAGTTTTAACTTCACTAATCTGCCACCTGGCAAATTCACCTGTGCAACCTCAAACTAAAAACCCTTTAAGGAATTAGCGTGAGTGAGCTGTGAAAGCCTTTTTACTGCTTTTATCTTTTTAGAAACTGAAGTTACCGGAGATAAAAAGATGTATTTGTTTCTGTAATTTCCCTTTTTCCTTCTTTATAAATAGTTTATCTTTTAAAGGCCTCTAAAATAAATCTTAAACAATCTGAGAGGGGGAATCTCTTTGCTGGATGATCAATAGATTAAATCATTTAATTTGATTATACATTTTAAAACGATGCAAAAAAACAAACAAACACCTAAATTAATCTACAATTTGAGATTTTAAATTACAACTATTATTACGTGGGGGATGTACAGCTGCTGAGGACCACAAACAACCGCTCATCTACATGAAATGTGTAAAATCCTTTTCCTTTAGTATCCCCAATGAGAAGAAGGAGCCGCAGTGATGAGACGGTACAGATGTGGGAGTGTGTTTAACATCTGCAAAGTTATTGTGTCTTTTGTTGTTTGTTTTTAAGGAGGAAGAAAAAAAACAATTAAAATCTAAAACGAGGTGAAAAAAAAACAACTATTTGTATCGAGCGGATGATTATTAGATTGACGAGTTGTTTTTTGGACCATTGGGACAAATAAATCGGGCTTTAGGAAATTAATTATACAATTTTCTGATATTTTATTGACCAGATGGAAAAGCAACAGCACATCTCTAATCTTATTTTATGATATAAAACCGTATAAATATTAAAATTAGAGCAGAGTTTTTTTTTTTTATTGATTGCCTGAGCGATCAGTCGACTGCTCGGGGTTTACTTTAAAACATTTTGGTTGGATTTCTTTTATTTTTAGGTGACAAGTTTGAGTTGTTGGCTGACTTTGAGGAGGCAGCGGGTTGATCACGGCCACACTCGCACACTTCACGCACCGACCTGAAGACCTGTGGTGTCTGGGGAGAGAGGGTCGAACACCTGGAGGAGAGAGGAAACAGGAAACGTACACTGAGGACTCAAAAGGGGTGGAAAGCTTTTTGGCTTTGGACTAGATAACCCCTTGTATGATTTGATTTCAGGATCCAGTTTTTCTCAAGCGTGGAGCGACACATATCCACACAGTGGAAATAAACGGAGAGCATTATAGACTATATGATTTTGGGGAAAGACTTGTACAAAGTTGGACATCCTTTTTTTCAAGGACAGGGATATTGAGCAACTCTTATGGACTCAAAGTGAAAACAGGAAATATTGTTCAATTTAGAAACAGAAGTTTAAGTGTTGAACTAAGATTATATTGAAGAAGCTGTTCCCCAAGTTCAGATTGCCTTAGTTGTTCTATTTCAGGACTTGAACCGCTTTGATACTTGTTCACATATAATTTTTCTATATTGTGGGCAAGTATATTCATGCATATGAATGCAAATTTCTCTTCATTTTGAAGAGCTCTTGTGTATAAACGTGTTTCTTTTTTTTGTTGTTCTTGTACGTCAGTCACTCTGTTGTTGAAGGGGACCGAACTGCACGTACATGTGTATATGTAAATACCACAAATTGACTTCTGTTGTGAAAGCTTTGGACTTAAGAAGAATAGAGAATATTGTTTGTTAATGCTTTATTAAACTTTTTTACTTTTGAAGAGACTTTTTAAAAAGAAAAACCTAAGAGGCAAAAATCTAATACTTTGAAGAAAAAAAAAACAACAAAAACAAAAGCAAGCAAAACAGGAAAAATGGCAACCGCCAGAACAGAAAACGTTGGCCCAGTCGTCATGGGACTGAACAAGCAGAATGGGCAGCTCAGAGGACAGACCAAACCAGCTTCAGTCCAGCCAGCACCCACAACTCAAGGAAAGGCTTTGGGAGCACCCCAGATAGGAGGTGGTGCCTCTCAGGACGGAGGAGGCATCAAGTTTGGAGATGACTGGAAAAAGAGCCTAAAGCTCCCTCCCAAAGACAACAGGGTCAAAACCTCAGTGAGTCTCTTGATGATTCTCAGATCTTTGGCTTAAAACCAGCTTTCTACTGTCATCCTAACCCATTCTGTGTCTACTGTAGGATGTGACGTCCACTAAGGGGAATGAATTTGAAGATTACTGTCTCAAAAGAGAACTCCTGATGGGCATCTTTGAGATGGGTTGGGAGAAACCTTCCCCTATCCAGGTACGGTTCATTTTGCTTCTGTTGGATCGGTTACAGTAGAGATGTGGACATCAGATAAAGGTCGCTGGAAGATCACAACCGTTGTTGAATCAAACCAGGGACACCGTAGTTTAACCACTAGACAACCGTGATGTCCCGTAGTTATTGTGGCAGATAGACATGTTTTTCGAACTTGTTTGACTCGGCACAAGTGTATTTTAACTTATTTAATTTTAATGAAATGCTTGTGTATTTAATGCTGAAACACAGACTTTCTACAGCCTATTGAATAAAAAGGTCAGATTATACAACGTAATGTCAGTGCTGGAGTGCAGAAATCATAATGTAGAGGAGAGAATAGTTGCAGCATTATTATTTAAGTATCTTACTACCGTGAACGATTAACAGGTGAGGTAATGTTTTGGTTTCCTTGCAGGAGGAGAGCATTCCCATCGCCCTGTCTGGACGGGACATTCTGGCTCGGGCTAAGAACGGAACAGGGAAAAGTGGAGCCTATCTCATCCCACTGCTGGAGAGAATAGACCTGAAAAAGGACCACATACAGGGTGAGACGTAGTTTTATATAGTTACCTTTCTAACGAGCCTCTCCCTCCTCACTTTTGTCCCTTGTTCCTTTCACCGCTAGCTCATTTTTCTTCTCACGTGCATCCTCTCTTGTCTCCAAATTCTTTCCCATCTGCCATATTTGTAACCTGTACCTTCTTTACGCCCCCTAGCACTTGTCATGGTGCCCACCCGTGAGCTGGCACTACAGGTGAGCCAGATCTCCATCCAGATCAGCAAACACCTGGGCGGAGTTAAAGTCATGGCCACCACCGGGGGCACCAACCTGCGAGATGACATCATGCGCCTGGATGAGACCGGTAAGAATCCACAGTGTGTCTCACTGACCTACGTATGGCCAGTGTCCAGAAAACAGCTACTGCCCACTACACACACACACCATGTGATGATAAACAAACACTCTATCAGAAATTAGTCCAATCTGCATGTGTCGGCTTATGGGGGTCAGGTTTTGTGCATTTTAATGGGGTAAATAATACAAATAAAAGGATAATATATTTAAATGTTTTTTCAACTTTTTGCCCGAGTGTAATTCTCTCCTGTTTTCTACATCAGTGCATGTGGTCATTGCCACCCCTGGTAGGATCCTGGACTTGATAAAGAAGGGAGTGGCAAAGGTGGATAGAGTCCAGATGATGGTGATGGATGAGGTAAACATGAATAAAACCAATAAAAAATACTATCTGCTAGAACTGTGTAATTTCATGTTCATCAAAATGCCTTTCATACTGGTTCCCTGCTTCGGGTTAAATCTCTGTTTCCTCTCAGGCGGATAAGCTGCTGTCTCAGGATTTTGTGGTGCTCATCGAGGATATCATCAGCTTCCTGGCGAAGAACAGGCAGATCCTGCTCTACTCTGCAACCTTCCCCATCAGCGTGCAGAAGTTCATGGTGAGTAGTCGGCTAATTGCTGCACCACCCCGATGGCTCAGGGCCACTTGGCACCAAATGGCTCGCACTGCAGACCAAGCTGTTCTCACACTGCGCCCAGATCTGTGTTTGTGTTAGTCTGTTGCACACTTTTCAAGGGCTGCCTTCGTCTGAAGCGGTTCAGCTAACAGTCGTAGGATTTGATTGTTTAGATGGTCTGTAAAAGTCTTCTGCAATGTCCTCTGGAATGTAATAACACAGACTGCATTTGGTAATACTTCTGATTTCTCTAAGCTGGTATTAAACTCTTACAGTGCACCAAAATACACGTCATTACTTAGTTAAGGGACGACCTATATGCTTGTACATGAAAACTCTGCTGTGTACTTTGCTGTTTTAAAGTGCACACTTTAACCTATTTACTGTGTCCTTGCTACAGGCCAAGCACCTTCAGAAACCCTATGAGATAAACCTGATGGAGGAACTGACTCTGAAGGGCATTACTCAGTACTACGCCTACGTCACCGAGAGGCAGAAAGTCCACTGCCTCAACACGCTGTTCTCCAGGGTAACTGACCAACTCCATATTCACACGTCTGTGCAGCCACAAAGGCACTTTTCACAATGCATAACCCTTTGTGTATGATTCTAGGTCATAAACACAAATAAAGTACAGCATTGTGTTTATAGTGGTTGTAAAAAAAACTAGCTGCATCTCTGGGTGGAATTTATTAAACCTAGAACATCTCTAACATCCTGCTCCAATTCCTCTTTTAACAGCATTTCGGCCAGTTTAGGATTTTGATCAGAATCAGACCACAGACTCACGTTCCCTCTCTTCTCTTCTCTCTCCGTCACAGCTTCAGATCAACCAGTCGATTATCTTCTGTAACTCCACTCAGAGGGTGGAGCTCTTGGCCAAGAAGATCACTCAGCTGGGCTACTCCTGCTTCTACATCCATGCCAAGATGATGCAGGTGAGGATGAAGCACAGCTGAGAGAAATGTTGCCATATGCCTTTCAATGTCAAAAAAAAAATAAAAATAAAAAAATAATAAATAAAAAAAAAAAAAAATATATATATATATATATATAGTAACTGTTTTGCTGCTTGATTATTTCAAATATAATTAGAGCAAATTAGAATTAATTATTATCCCCGGTTCGATTCCAGCTGAGGACATACCACCCTCTCACTCCCCTTGTTTTCCTTTCTTGAAGATGCTAAAAACATATAAACATATGTATTTATAGCCGTCACAAATTATATAAATATGTAAATTCCTTTTAGTAAATGATGCCAATATAAACTGAAAATAACCACAATAATAAATAATCATAACATTAAAAATGTATACTAACAGCAAAATGACCAGTAAATCTTTAAGGCTGCTTTGAGTGTTTTTAATGTTTTTTCGTAATATTCTCATCTGTAACCTTTTCATGTGTTTGTTTTGTTTTCAGGAATATAGAAACCGTGTGTTCCACGATTTCAGAAATGGGCTTTGCAGAAACCTGGTCTGCACTGGTGAGTTTCTGTTTACTCTCACATTTCAAAACAGAGCAGTCTGATGTTATCCAGAAAAGCCACAGAGGTTATCGGAGATTAAAATCTAATTTTCTGCTCTCTTCCAATAGATCTCTTCACCAGAGGTATTGACATCCAGGCCGTCAATGTCGTCATCAACTTCGACTTCCCTAAGAATGCTGAGACTTACCTCCATCGTATTGGAAGATCAGGTACGCTGTTTTCTCCTTAATGAATGTGCACTGCTTTGTTGTTTTTTTTTAACCTTCACTGTCTCTCATTTGTGGAAACGGAACATAAACCTGAACGTAAACAAAAGATTTGGGAGCTTCTTTTTAATACAAGTCATTCAGATTGATGAATAAAGCAATGTTTATGTTGTACTAGTTCTTCCTGTGAGATTACAGAGCTCTGTCTGCCCTGTTTGCTTTTCTCTGTGGTTTCTCTCTTTCCTGGACGCAGTACATTAATTAACTTTGATTCTCTCGCTCTCAGGGAGGTTTGGTCACCTGGGCTTGGCCATCAACCTGATCACATCAGAGGACAGATTCAACCTGAAGGCCATCGAAGACCAGCTGGTGACCGACATCAAGCCCATTCCAGGCAGCATCGACAAGAGCCTGTACGTGGCCGAGTACCACTCGTCTGGCGCCGACTGTGACGTGGAGGAGGTTGAGGAGAAGCCAGGACACCACCAGGACAGCACCTAAAACAGGTGAGATGCTTTTATAATTTTTAGACTTTGATTGCAAGAAAAAAGTAAAACCCGTCGTCCTAATCTGAGCTTTTATCTTCCCTCCAGGACGGCAGGACACACCGGGCTTTTGCACAGACATCAGCGCTTGCGCACAGGCTTCAGGCAACTCTTCACTTTCACATTTCTCACTCGTTTTCAGAGCCTGTCGAATGGATGTAAAGGCTGTTTTTATTTTATTTTTATTTTGTTTTCGCCTTTCCTTTGCTTTTTTCCTCAAAGAGAGCTGCCTCATTCTTTTTATTTTAATTAACTGAGAAAGTTGAACTATATTGTTTTGCACCAAACTCAGAACGGGCCATGCATCCTGCTTATGAGCTTAGCGTATTTTTTCCTAAAATTTATCTTGGTTAGACAGCACTGCAAGGGAGTATCAAAACTGTTTTGAACCTGTCGTCCTAGGAGACTGTTTTCATTGCCAGCAGCAAGGTTTGGTCTGTTTTTAATGTTACAATGGTGCACTTACACCAGCCATCGTCACTTACACTGTTGTTGTCACTTAAGTGCCTTACTTACTCCCATGTGCACTCATCCATTCATAGCCTGCTGTCTTCTGTCATGCAGCAGAGTACGAGCACAAACGATATGAATTTAATAGCAACCCGAGTTTATTTAAACATCCATTATGCAAGGGAAAACGACAACACACATGCACACACACACATACACACACACACACTCACTCTTCTGCTGAGAGATGTGTTGGAACACGGCTCAAACTCTTTAAAAACCATCCTGAATGTGAACGTTTATTTTAAATGTGAACGTTGCAATAAAAAAAAGGGCAGCTTTATTTAAATACTGCGTGACTGTTTTTCCCTTTTCACTATGAATAATACATGAGCGGAGTTAATACGAGAAGACGGCTAAAGACACAAGCCCCCATACGGATTCATGGATGTTAGCCTGCAAACACACAAACGGCATGGGAAACGAAAAGCAGCCTCATGCTCTTACATTATGGCTGTTCTTTTTACATTAAGATAAAATTATATTGGGCTGGTGAATACTATAAACCCATCGACCACTGTACCTGGTGGATGAAACGCTGGTTTCCTCTCCTGCACGCAGCTACGCACAGGACTAATGCATCAGAGACCGGTTCAGAACAGTTTTGATTTTGCCATTCCTAAGCTGATATGCACTTCAGGTCCAAAGAGTAAAAATGTTTTTTATAGAAGTTGGTGCAAAACAATAGTTTGAATATTTTTTTTTTCTTTCCCCCAACTGCATCAGATTCAGTTACATTGTGGAAATATTAGATGGAATTAATTACAGGAGCAAATCCTGAGGTTAAACTTTTGAAATCTTCCCCCGTCAGGACAAGAATTGAAGTTGGTGAATGTACACTCTCTATAGCCCAGTGGTTGAATGCCCAGCTCTTGACAGCTGTCACTTGTATTGCTGCTGTTGCATTAGAAACTTCTTATTAAATGGATTGACGGGACAGCAGCGTGACGCAACCCGCTCACCCTGTACAGGATCACACTGACCCTCAATTGAACTACGACTAAAAATTAGGAAAAACTAAATGTCAGAGTTTCTTTGTGCAGCAGCAGCGGTACCATTTTATTTTTGTTTGTTTTTCCCCCGACACAGCTATGTTTTATGAATCTAAACAAAAAAAAGAAATGTGAGGATTATCTTTGGTGAGGGGTGGGCTCTGTGTTTTGAAAGCGAAATTGTAGCATCTTTGAACAGGCAGCTGTGAGTTCTTTGTTTTTGTCCTCCCCTTACAAGAGCGTCAGTAATGCTTAAAAAAAAAGACATAAAAAAGAAAGTATTTTTGCTTTTTAAGATTTATTTTTGATGTTGCTTAAAGCAGTGTGAAGGGGGGGGACTGTAAGGCTTTAGCACTGGGTAACTTCTGGTTTATTTTGGGTGGGTTTGCAGAAGCCAAGTGTTTTATCGGATGCTCTCTGGGCATCTTGAATCTTTCCTTCTCTCTGGTACTTAAAGCAAAGACAAAAGCTTTGATTTAAAGTTTGTTTCCCCCCCAAAAAGTACGCGAAATACCTGGTTTGCTTCGTGTTTTTAAGTGCCAGAGAGAGCGTTAAGTTATACAGGAGAGAGTTCCTGGAACGCGTTGAAGCACTGTGATCTTCTTGAACCCTGTTCCATGTTTGTGTGACGGATGATCAGAGTGCTATGATTTGTTTTCAGCAACTCAATCCATTTTCCACTAGGGCAATCTTTAATACGAGGTGTTATGAATCATTTTTGAGGAAACAAAAATTGTAAATGATTCATTGTTTACACTAGTCGTTTACAATTATACAAAAAAAAAAGAAAATACTTTGCTTCATGGTCGGTGGAAGAGGTCGATTTTTATTTTATTTTCCTTTTTTATTTTTTTCCTTGAAATAGATTTTCAGGATTTACATTGAAGCAAAACCAAAAAAGGAGAATGTCGTGTGAGTGTATGAGAGAGAGAGATAAGGTGGGTGTTTGAGTGAGGAGTGTGTGAGTGTGTGTTTGAGTGAGAGAGAGAGAAAGGACATGAGATGTATGTTTGAAGCTGACCGGCTGCGTTTTTGTTAAGAATTATTACGTTTACATGCAGCTTCAACTAAACGCCCGTCAGTGGATGTCTGGATTAACAGAAATCAGACCTCACACCAGTAACCGGAGAAAACCTGGGTTACTGGTGTGCATGATGGGTAATTTGGAATAAGAAACAAAGGAACTGACCTGTTGTCAGTTTGAGTCTGCATGTAAGCGTAATAGACTCGTCTATTTTTTTTTTTTTTTTTTTTGTGCGTGTGTTCATGTGGGTCTTGTGTTTTTTGTTGGCAGTGTACGATGTCTTAAATAATCAGTATGGATGTTTACAGTCGTCAGGGATGTGATTTTTTTTTTTTTTTATGCTCCTTCATCTCCCGTTTCCTCCAGGAGTTCCAGTTTCTAATGACAAATTTCCACTTTTCAGTTTTTTGTTTTTTTTTATGTTTTATGTTGCTGATCACATCCCTGACAATCATTCCATCATCTCCTCTGTGATCACACACACACACATTTCCTGGCTGTGTTCATTCACTAAATATCAGACAGCAGACTTTTGCCTGGAATCGGCTCCCAAAATGCTCAACAGCTTAAAAGAAAAACTACCTTCTTATTCCAACTTTATTTTTGTAGCTCCACTCACATGTTGTATCAGTTATCCCGAGAATAAGGCAACATCGCTAAACAATGGCTGCAAAGAGGCTCTTTGAGACTTAAAGCTTAACTTTGGATAAGAACAGTTTAATCATCCACCATAGAACTTGTCTGAAGCTGCAAAACTTGAGCTGTATAAGCCGACGTTTTTCTTTTAAGCTGCATTAAACTCGTTGCGTCTGCGGCCACAAAGGAGATTCTGATGAATGCAGTTCTGAATGTTGAGTTATTCGGTTAATTTTGTCATCTGGTGTTGTCATGACGTCTTTTTGTGTGTGTGTGTGTGTGTGCTCTCTCTGACCTGTGGAGTCAGGAGTGCTGATAGGGGGGAGGGGAGGGAGGGAGGGAGGGATATTTGTTTAAAAACCTGTTCGAAAAGGGTAACTGTTAAATACATAAAAAGAGATAAATAATTGGAAAGGGTGAGGATTTGGGTACAAAATGGACGGTTTTGGGATTCTCCAAATTCTAAATTGATGAAGGAAAAAAAAATGTCAACACCTAAACTAGTATTAATGGCTGAACTACCCTTAATATTTCTACTGTGCATAGCTAAATTGAATTGGATCTCTTAATTTGCTGCACTAATGTAGACTCACCCACGCTTTCAGGTGATTTCAGCCAGACTTTAATGATGAGCTCAGCAGAATTGTTGTAGTAAGCTGAGGGTACAGTTACAACAGTATTTCCCCCCTTTTGCAACACGGATAGACAACAGTGGTGTTAAGACTAATTGGCTCTCAATTTATTTTAGTTTCAATGTAGCTGGGGATAAAGTTGCAACAGTATTTTTTTATTTTTATTACAACATGGATTGGAAGGAGTCGTGATACAGTGATTCAAAATTGGCTTGATTTAAAAAATGTTGTTTCAGTTGATCTGTCATACGTAAAAGGTTATGTTTCTTTTTCCGTAAACCCCCTCCTGTAGTCACAGTTTTTATTATTTGAGTTGTTCAGTCTTCTTTGTACTAATTGGTACCTCGGTGGCCGTGCTTCTCCCAGAAACAGTTTATCAGCCCCGCGTTCAAGTGAGTTGAATCATTTTGGACTTTAATAGCCTAAAAAAAAAAAAAAAAAACCCTGGACTATCCATGTTTTAGGATGTCAGTTTATTTTCCTCCCTCACTGTCCCATGATTTCCTTTTATCGTGTCATTAGAATAAAACTCAGTAATGATTGGGTGGTACTGCAAAAATGTCATTCTTTCATTGTTTTGTTTCCCTTTTTTTTGTCTTTTCTTACGAAATGCATTGAAGAGGCACCAGACGTCTCAACGTCCTCTACTGTTGTAACGTGGAAATACATGCAGGGGTTATAAAATTCAATAAATTGAACTTAAATTTACACTCTGGTCTCTTTTTTTTTTTACTCCTCTGTTTAACTGCATTGTCACAATTCAAATATATAATGTGATACATAACCTAAATAATGTGTTTTATTCAAATGTATATACAGAAAACCTGCAGGCGGTGGCTGCTGGGCCTTAAAGGTTTATAATGAAGCTGTCATCTAAAGTCTGTTTGCTGTACTTAATGGAAACTTTGAGGCAGCAGAGGGCATTAAAAATGCCCAGAGGGTGGGAGGGGAGTTATATGAACAGCCCTGCAATGAATCTTGTGAAGCTTATTGTTGACAGTCGAAGGGGAGAGAGGTTATGATTCAACCACAGAAAACCGGGTTTAACTCTTCTGTTTATTGATCTACACTCCCGTCAACAGGTGACACGCACACATAATGACGTTCAGAGGCAGTGTGGTTTAACTTCACTACGTTCACCTCGTACCACAGGTGTGCACACTGGCCCCTCGTTGGTTGCCGTATGGTGAAAACAGCAGACTTCCTTATCCTCTGGGCGAAATACGAGCAATGTGCAAACACAGCAGAGAGATCTGTGAGGAGAAGGGTGTCCAACACGAAGATCACCTGTATACACCTGCACTGGCTATTTACACTGTTCTCTTTACATAGACGTACTGTACTTACAGAACAAACACATTTTTTTCCTTCAAAATCCACTAAAACATTTTAAAAAAATTAAGGTTTGGAAGTATGTTTTTTTTTTATCTTAATTTTCAAGCAGAAAATTAAGATAAAAAAAAAAAAAAAACATTTAGGAAGTAAAAACATACTTTAAAACACTTTATTTTATTATTCTATTTTTATTTCTTGATGATCTTATAATTTATTTGTAAAGCACTTTGAAACGTTAGTTTTAAAAAGTGCTCTGTAAATAAATATTATTAGTTCAGTATTTTAGGTTATTTTTTTACCTTTGTATATATACTGTGTATTTTTAACAGAAAAAAAAAAATTCCTTGTTTACATTTATAGTTTTTATTTCACACTTGCTTTGTCAATGTAAATGCCAATAATCGATAATATATTAATTTGAATTTAACTGCTTTGTGAGCTGTCGCTGGAGGAAGAGACGAGAGGCTTCAACTACAACGTGTTTTCATAAAGCGACCGGTTGCAACGAGCCCTCCGGGCCACCGTTTGACCTTGAAAGAATTTCCACGTGACCCGCTCTGCTGTTTGCGGCTGACGTCGAGGCCCTCCGCCAATCGGCAGCCTCAGAACACAACGCCCCGCCCCCTTACAGCTGCGTGCACGTCGCTTAGCAAATAGCGTTTGAGTTCGAGCGTGACATCATCGGGGACAAAGCCACGCCTCCGACTCTTCGCGCACGATTAATGAGTGACAGGTGTTTCCGCCAATCATTTTCGAGCGTCGTGGTGCGGCATCCAATCACAACGCGTCTTGACAAAAAAAAAAAAAAAAAAAAAAAAAGGCGGGTCCCGGCGTCACGCTTCTTCTTCTTCTTCTTCTTCTTCGGTGCTACTTGGCTTCAACTTCCGGCTGCATCGTCCTCTGGAAACCACAACGTGAGTATCTTTCTCGTTACCGCTGAGTTTTATATAACCGGAGACTTTACCGGACACTCCCCAACGCGTGAGCCGGTTTTATTCGGCTGTTGCCGTGCGACAGAGTGTCCGTTGGCGTCCGTTACCGGCGGCGACCGTTAGTTCAACGGCTGTTTGCTGCCGCTCGCAGAAGCTAGCCTAGCTGAGTTTCCCAGTGGCTTGTAGGTGAGACAGGTTTTCATTCATTATATTAAATATTTAAATAATTAAATAATTAAACTCGTGCTGTAGATAGAAGAAGCGGCTGTTCGCTGTTGTCTCACCTGTTTCCGTCACGTGCTGCTGTTGTTGTTTATTATTTTCTGTCTGTTTTTGTCGCGCTGCTGTTTTAACTTCATGTGAAAGGTTAAAGGGCCACTCCGCCTCATTGTGCTCTCATTATGGGATGCATTACTCACCCTGTGGCCCTGTTTCACTTCACCTTTGTTTGTGTGTGCGAGATGCTTTTTCTGAGTTCTGCTGGAATAAAGATGTGATCAGGGTGTTTAGACTTTATTGATCACTTGCTGCTGCAGCTCCAGATGCAACACAACACCTAAGAAAAATACACATAAAGTAAGAAATAGAGTAGAGTAAGTAGATATAATAAGAGTTGCATGTACACAGATGTAATTGGATGTTGCACAGAACAAAAAAAAAAAACTACACATACATCAGTAACTGTAAGGTTTAATAGTGTATATATCTAAATAGGTTTGTGATCTCTCTTGTGTAATTATGTATTATTATGATGTTTAACTCATCCACAGTTTTTACAGAAACCACGAGCACCAACGTATCAAATGAGGATCTGTTTCGTCTGCAGCCTACATTTTATACAAAGTGATATTTGTTCTGCTTTAAATAAGCAATTTGAAAGTATTTAGATTTATATACTTTATTTCCCATCTTTGCAGAGGAAGAGTTTTATGCTAAAGGAATTTAAATGCCTGTCCCATGTAGCCGCCTGTGCCAAATATAGACAGATTGAGTGATTAAAAATAAAGAGCTATTAAAAGCTTTATTGTGTGCGGGAATTACTGGAATTGCCCGTTTCTGACTTGCAAAGCGCTCACGTCGACATCAGATATTTCTAAAAGCTTTAATTTATCTGACTTGATATTAAATAATATAAAAGTGTCTGAAAAAACAGGTCATATCTCCATAATCGGTTATACAAGGTAAACCAAAGAGTAATGGATATAATGCTGTATTGTCAGTGCACTGTATGTTTAACCCTAACGTGATCATCCTCTGTGCTCAGACTGCTGCATTGTAAACTATTTATAACCACTAATTTTTAACTGAAGGTCTGCAGTTAGAAACCCACGGGTATAAACCAGGCGTGGATGGTCTAATGAAATTATGTGAAATGTAGAATCCAGAATATTTGTGGTTGGACATAAACTGGGGAATAAAAAGAGTTTATCTTGGCCGCTGCTTCTTCTTTTCTATTTTTCTTTAAATCCCTCTCTGGCGAGCCCCTCAGCTTTACATGTGAAGTCACGTTACACTTATGGATTATTTAATCTGCCTGCATCAGTCACACTTATTGATTAGGTATAGTGTGGCTGAAATACATTTCTTTAATGTCAGTGTACCAGAGTATTTTATCATATATTCTCTCGTGGTTTTAACCCAGTCTGTCACTCTTTCTCTCTCTCTCTCCATCTCTTAATTTCTCTCTGCCAGAATGGGCAGTGTTTTGGCTGCCAGCTCCCCCAACCCTCCACCACCAGCCTCTGGTGGTGCTGCCGTCCCGGGGTTGACGGTGCCGCCAGGCTTCGGGATGCCTCCAGTTTCCTCAGTTATACCCTCCCCGGAGGCGGCGTCGGGACAGCAGCAGGAAGCAGAAGGTTCTTTGCCTAACCCGGGTGCTTTTGATGAGTGTCATCGCAAGTGCAAAGGTAAATGGAGATAAATCAGTCTTACGTCCTATAAACTGTTCACTAAAATGTAGAACTGGGTAGAGATGTAAAGAGGCACCTTGTTTGTCAGAACGGCACAATTGTAGTTATTTTTATTTATTTATGAACACAGTTTAAAATTACAGGTCAGTGTACAAGGACAGTAATACATAATACGACAAAGTGTGGTCTTTAAACTGTGATTTTAAATAGATTTTAATCTTTAAACCGAGTCTTATAGACAAGACAAGCCTTTGTAAATTTGATAAGATTATCCCAGCTCAGTAAATTCTGATTTCTAACAATGGTGATGAGTGTTTGGCTTCCTGTCAAGTACCTTAAGAGCCTTGTGTTATACTGACTGTACTGGTTTGAGTGTTGTAAAGTGTCTGTACTACCTGGTGTTGATCTCCTATGTGTCTCATCTGTGTCTGGTTTTCTTCTCAGAGGTTTTCCCTATGCAGATGGAAGGCGTCAGGCTAGTTGTCAACAAGGGCCTTAGCAACCACTTCCAGGTCAGTTAAATTCGTTTTTATCAACAAAAATCTGAACAGTTGATTAATTATTTGACAAAATAAAGCTGGACTACGTCTCAAGAGCTCACATTTTTCTGTAAGATTTTAGTCTGATGTTTGTCTCTATGGATCAGATCAAATAAAGCAAACTGCAAATGTGTCAAAGATACATTTAAAAAAAATGTTTTGTCCTTTTTAAGGTGAATCACACTGTGCTGCTGAGCACCATGGGAGATTCCACCTACAGGTTTGGTGCCACATACGTTGGATTGAAGCAGATGGGTCCAGCAGAGGTATGCTGCATTAGTCCCATCTGTAAGACGTTTTATATTTTCTCTTGTATGTGAACTGTAACATAAATGAACTGCTGTTTGTTCAGTTTTTCCCCGTCATGGTGGGAGACATGGACAACAGTGGCAGCCTTAACGCCCAGATCATCCACCAGATCAGCAGCACAGTACGATCCAAACTAGCCTTCCAGGTAAAGCTCCAACATATTTTTTCTCTGTGTGTGTGTTGGACCTTTTTATGGTCATAATGCTTAAATTAAATTAAATTAATTTAGATTTACAATGTAAAATGTCTCACATAATTCTTAAAGTAGCCAAATTAAACAGTTCATAAATATTTGTATGTTTTCTATAAATGTTAAAACTGATTATCAGCTGTTGATAATATCAGTCAGGGCTGTGATGTTAACTTTGTCCACATGTTCTCAGACACAACAGAACAAGTTTGTGAACTGGCAAGGCGACGCTGAGATCAGGGGAGAAGATTTTACTGCAACAGTTACACTTGGAAACCCAGACGTCCTCGTGGGCTCTGGTAGGTCTTCAGCCAGGAATCCAATCTGCAGACTCAAGACTGAAATTACTTTCTTTGCATAGATGTTTTTTGTAATTTTACTGAAAGTAGATATCTAATTTAACCCGAAAACACAGATTTGTTCTGAACCTGAACGCCTCTTGTCGTCCACCTGTCAGGTATCGTTGTAACACACTACCTCCAGTCCGTAACGC